AAAAATATACATACATTAACATATATATATATATATATATATATATATATATATATATATATATATATATATAATAAAATAACCAAATTATTTATCTTGATCTTTTCGCGGCTCAGATCATTTTGATCTGATGGTTTTAATTAAACTTTTATTCTTTTTACAACTTTAATTCTCTCAGTCCTCATATAACTCTCTCTATCATCCTTTTTTTTGTTTCCCCTGTACAATTATTTATCCCATAAAATTAATTCAAAGTTTTTATGTATCCAATGACATGTATTTTGTCACTTATTTCTTAATTTGTAAATAATATTTAATGTAAATAAAAATAGCACATTGATTATAAATACCAAATAATATTCAACACGAAATGAACCTCAGTTTGTAAATTAATATATAATTTTATCAAAAATTGACATTTAATTTTGTCTAATTTATATTCAACTCTGTCGAATTAATATCAAATTAATTTTTATTGTTATAAAATTAAATATTAAAATTCATTTAATCATTTTTTTGGAGTACAAAATTATATTAATTTTTTGGGTATTAAATTAAATTTTTAATTTTTTTTGGTACTAAATTTGGAGAAGGACAGTTGTAAAAATAATAAATTTTTTTAGTATAAAATTATCAGTTTTCGTTAGCAACATTAACGGAAGAAAGACAGAAAAGGTCTCCGTGCAATGAATTTCAAACCTCAAGGGTATTCATGTTATTTATAAGATGTCAGAAAATATCCTTATGATATTGTCAAAACTCAGGAGATGTCCGTGATTTTTACACTGCTTTTTAATTAAATATTAATTTATTATTATTTTATCTTAAAAACTTAAAGAATTGTATTTCTAATAAAAAAAAATTATTGGTTAGCAGTGTTTGTTAGCAATCAAAAAAGAAATGTATGTGGGTGTATTTATTTATTTATTTATACGTGGAGGATTGGACATTTGGTGATCAAATTTATAATTATATTATGTCATTTTAAGATTAAATGGTAATAGTGGTGATAAATTCATGAGTTTTATAAATGAGCATGATTTGGTTGATTTTATTTATCACTATGTTCTGTTAATTTTTTTTTTTTGTTTAAGTTATTTATTACATAGGAATAGAGTGAATTGAAAATATAGTCGTTGACTTTGTAATTATGTTGTGTTATTGGATTAAGTGGTAGTAGATATGATAAATTCGTTAGTCTTATAAATGAATAATATTTTATTTATTACTTAAAAATTATAAATTTCAATGGGTTAGTATTTATTTTTTTTTTCCAGAGACATTTCTATATATGGTGTTGTTTTGGGAAAATTTTATATATTTTTATAATTGTTCCATTAATATGAAAGAAATGATTGACTATATATTTCGAGTCACTTTAAAAGAAAAATTAGTATGAATATTTTTAGATCATTTCTTTTGAATTTGGACAATTATTTAAAAATATTTTATTTGTTGTATAGTGTCTTCGGGTACGGATAATGATTAGCGTATATATATATATATATTGAACAGGCATATACATAGTAGATGAGGAATGCTATTTGAATTTAAAATTTTAACTTAATTTACTGACTTAATAATGTGATTTTATTAGAACCATTGAATCAACAATAAATTTTAATGTTTGATGGAACTTAAAATCAATTCAAAAATCATAGTGAATTAAGTTAATAAATTATGTCCTATTAACATTGCTCCTAGTTGATATTCTCGAGTTGAGTTTGACATAGAAAATAAACATTGCAACTAAACTACTTTCAACTACTTATGGTCGGCTACTTGAATCGCCGTTCCTCCGTCATGTTTTGTTGAAAGTCAAATTTTAATTTTCGTGATTGGTAGCGTGGACCCAAATATGCGTATACCGAATTACCTATCTATGTGTATAGTAGAGCTTCTACACACACATGTATAACACCTTACGATTAATTTTGAAATACATGGTTTGTGATGAATTATTGTGGTTCTTACATGTGCAGTCTTAGGCATCACCATTTTCATCGTCACTGTCGCAATTCTAATTCGTGTAAAGGCCTATCGTTTCAAAAAATTGGAGGAGGAGAAACAAAAGAAAAAAGAGAATCAAGGTGAATTTCAGGTTGACAAGTTCCTAGACGATTATGAAACCCTCAGACCTGCAAGATGTTGATATCAATTAAGTTGTTGATTAGTCAGATGAATAGTCAGACAAGTTTGTAAGAATAAACTGAATTAGGACTTTGGAATTATGAAAATGCTTTGAGAGGGAAGATTTGAGATTTGTGAAACATGTATGTTAAAACCTACTCCAATGAAGGAAAAGGTTCTATAAAACAGAAGTACCCAAATCAATTTGTTAGGGTAAGATTGCAATATTGAAGAGTTATTTTTGGTATCATATTAATATCGTCTGTTACTACAAAATAAGGGTAAATTTTTTTTTTTTGAACAAAAAATTAGGGTAAAATTCAATCCAATGAAGTTACGACCAATTGAGATTTGGCGATCCTAATTTTTCAAAGTTGACTCCAAAGAGTTGTAGTTGTCCTTTTTGAATCATAATTTAAACTAGGTGTAATCAACTTGTTGTTCGCCGAAAACCCCTTCTTTGGGTCGTTAGTGCCCTGCAGTCATGGTAATTATACCGGGAAGGTGAAGGATTGGGCTGTCCCACATCGAATAACCTCGGGTGTGTGAGTGTGTCTATAAATTTTTACTTGGCCTTTACTCTACTAGAATAAGTGATTAAGTGCGAATCAAAAAAACTTATTGCCCACCAAAAATTAGAGTCATCAGCAGCATATTGATCGGCCCGTTTCAGGCCCAAATTATTCCCTTATGAGATGTTATCAGGAATGGATTCTTATATTAATTTAGTCTTAGCACAGTTACAGCATAAAACGTTACGGCACCATCTTTGGTTTTATGTTAGAGGGTGTTCAAATTTACTATAATTAATTTTTCAAACTCTCATTTAACAATACTCGAGCTAATTTAAGGACATAAAATTCGAGAAATAAGAGTGGCTGACCTTAGGAGGTGTGAAAAGTATCGAACCTGATATTTCTTATTTATAAAAAGACAGGCCGGATTACTAGACCACCCCTAAAAATTGTTACTTCATGTTCTTAGAATGACATTTTTAACCTTGAGTTTTAGCCTGTGGTCCAATGTACTAATGAAGTTTGGTACATTGGGTTCAATTTTTTGAACACTAAAATTTTATATTTTATCGTGCTTTCAAGCATAAATTACTACTAGTTATTTAATCCTGTATCTTCAAATTTTAAAATTTATTGAAGATTGTTGCAAATTTTTAAATTTGTATATTATTTTGGGTATTTTTAAAGTATTAATTATAATTTTTTTAAACTAAAACACCACTTTAACTTGCGTTCGATCCATCCTAATATTTTTAGTATTGATAAAAAATTATCATATAAATTATANAATTGAGATTTGGCGATCCTAATTTTTCAAAGTTGACTCCAAAGAGTTGTAGTTGTCCTTTTTGAATCATAATTTAAACTAGGTGTAATCAACTTGTTGTTCGCCGAAAACCCCTTCTTTGGGTCGTTAGTGCCCTGCAGTCATGGTAATTATACCGGGAAGGTGAAGGATTGGGCTGTCCCACATCGAATAACCTCGGGTGTGTGAGTGTGTCTATAAATTTTTACTTGGCCTTTACTCTACTAGAATAAGTGATTAAGTGCGAATCAAAAAAACTTATTGCCCACCAAAAATTAGAGTCATCAGCAGCATATTGATCGGCCCGTTTCAGGCCCAAATTATTCCCTTATGAGATGTTATCAGGAATGGATTCTTATATTAATTTAGTCTTAGCACAGTTACAGCATAAAACGTTACGGCACCATCTTTGGTTTTATGTTAGAGGGTGTTCAAATTTACTATAATTAATTTTTCAAACTCTCATTTAACAATACTCGAGCTAATTTAAGGACATAAAATTCGAGAAATAAGAGTGGCTGACCTTAGGAGGTGTGAAAAGTATCGAACCTGATATTTCTTATTTATAAAAAGACAGGCCGGATTACTAGACCACCCCTAAAAATTGTTACTTCATGTTCTTAGAATGACATTTTTAACCTTGAGTTTTAGCCTGTGGTCCAATGTACTAATGAAGTTTGGTACATTGGGTTCAATTTTTTGAACACTAAAATTTTATATTTTATCGTGCTTTCAAGCATAAATTACTACTAGTTATTTAATCCTGTATCTTCAAATTTTAAAATTTATTGAAGATTGTTGCAAATTTTTAAATTTGTATATTATTTTGGGTATTTTTAAAGTATTAATTATAATTTTTTTAAACTAAAACACCACTTTAACTTGCGTTCGATCCATCCTAATATTTTTAGTATTGATAAAAAATTATCATATAAATTATAAATAATTTTAAAATTTTGTTTAATAAATTAAAAAAAATATTGGGTTGCATAGTTTTCTCCCCCACAAGGCAAATAATAGTAATTGCTTTAATTAGGATTAATAATTGAGCCGAATTATTTAGGTTTAATTCAGACTAAGTTCAAAAAGGATTCGACTCGAATGTTAGGAGGTTAAACAATTTTTTATGTTAATTTTCTAAAAAACTCAAAGTTTGCAAAACTTAATTGATTTATATGTAAAATAATCAAATTATTTAAACACAATTTAATTTAAGTTTGACTTGAACTTAATTCATCTTTTAAACAAATTAATTTTAAATAATTTTTCAAGTCCGTTTTAAAAAGCAAACTTGGTAAACTCAAGTCAATAGCCTTGCTTGAATGTTTCCGTCAATAAAGATCGGTGACCTCCGAGCATTGCAGACACCACGCGTCCCTCTTTATTGCAAAAGTTCCTGGAAGTTCCGCGAGAAAGCGAGAGAGAGAGAGAGAGAGTACCAAAAACTCCCAATTTTCAGCATATTCACCTTCCATGGCATGTAATTCAGTATTAATCATTTCTATTTTGATAATCTTCACTTACATCCAAATTTCATCCTCCATTCCTTTCATCCTGATCCACGGTAATCTGAACTCTATATTTGTTTGTCTATTGCTGTGTAAATATTCTGAGTTTGTTTATTGCTTTGTTTGAATGATGCTGTTCACTGTTTGTGAGCTCTTGAATTGTGAATATCTGAACTCCGAATCATTAGTTATTTAGCGGTACTGATTTCTGATAATGGGAACTTTTGGAAATTGTTCTGGAAGAGGCATTTGGTTTTTGAATTTACTGTGAGTTCAGCATGATTTATATAGTGGTACTGTTTTAAAGAAATAGGAAACTTGGAAATTGCTGTTTACCGATGATTAGGTTTATGTATTTCGTGTTAATCGTGAAACAACCTTGATTATTGATTTTGTTTTCTGCTTGTGGATTCCTCTGAGTGACTGTTCTTACGCAGGACAACCCTAAGTACTTTAACAGTGAACCAAGCTGATTAGTTGACTCGAGTTGGGTAACAAGGGAAAAGTGCTCATTGATTCGCTGAGAAAGGGATTGAGTTACAAATAGTTGTATTAAGATCGAATATTGTGACCAAAGTTGTCAAAACGTGTATTGTATCACATATCGTAAGATACATTCACTTTTGAAAAAAATATATCTATTAATAAATACATAGATAAATACATGAATACATAATTAGACTCCAGAATAACATAAATATGATTTCAGCTCACCCATTATCTAGTGCGATGCATGGTGGCGATAGAGATCGAAAGAGATAACCCTCCATCTTTGCAGAAGAGATCAAAACAGCTAGGGTTTTGTTATTTAAAGAAGAAAAAGAAGAAGAAAAGAACCAGGAGAAGCAAAATAGGATCGTAAATGAAGAAGCAGATGTGGGTTTTGTCTATTTGAGGTCAAACTAAAAAAGAAAAAATAACTTGTAAGAAACACTGCCACTTTATTGATTAGAGTAAAAATAATTAAAAATATAAAAGAATGATGTTTTGCGTATTATCTTTTCACAGCACTGAAGCGTATCCGTGAAAAAGATATGTATCGTCTCTAAGTGTTATTTTTTTATTGGATTGTAACCTGTCGCAAGATACTAATAACTATGATTGTGATATTCCATTGTAAATTATGGCTTATTAATGTGAATGTGACTCCTTATCGTCTACTAACATGAGGAATCATGTGAGACACAACCCGTAATGGTTGCTGTGATAGTCTCTTCGTGTTTGACATTCATATTGCTCCACCAGTTATGCTGGGGGTAGTTATAATATGGTTCCAGAATCCATTTTATTCTTGATTCTTTTAAATTGGTCGAATCAACCCATCTCTCAATTTTTTATCAGGTAGTTCCTCATTTTTGTGGTATGATTTATGGGCAATTTGCAACTACGATATTAACTTTGGTACTTTCGTTGATTTAATCCGCAATAACTCCTAGTTTCCTAGACGTTGACAGCCCTTAAGTTAGTGTATTCTGGATTCTAATTTTCAGTTGTCTCTTTTTACTTGAAAAGTTAACATTTTATGTATAGCTACAAATGTGTTCGAAAAATATATTTCAGCCTAATGAGTTTGTTATGGCAGGAATTGGGGATCAATGCTCCAATCGAGGAGTTAAACGGTTTACCCGGCAACTGAGTGACTTGTCCAAAGCCGAAGGGTTTTGCATGTATGACTTTGTTATAATTTAGCTGGTTTGGGTAGACCTAATTTGCAATGCCTGCTTGTTATTGCCTGTTGATCTAGTTTCAAATGACATGTAACACTTCGTTTGTGAAATTTTGAATCAGTTTCTACATAGGTGGACCTTGGCTTATTATCTATCTTTTTTTAATAATATTTGACCTTGTTACTCCTTTTCTGCCTATAGATAATCACTGTTGATTCTATACGAGGACAGTCTTATCTTCATTTGAAATCTTATTTATTTTGTTTGTTGGTTGTTGACTCAATATTTCTTTTTGGAATCTTTTGTCCTAGTTAAGAAAGGCCAGAAACTGTTCAGTCTAAATTTGAATACAACATCATTCTACTAAGTTGGGTAAGTTTTTCAGCTAATAGTTGGACAGAGTTAAAAATTCGAATTTTGCTTGATGTTCAGTATTAATCTTAATTCTTGGTGAACTGTCTAGGCCACAGGATGTGCCTGCTCATGTGAGTGTTACTGAAGTAACTCATTTGGGAGTAGAACTATGTATATTCCTAAATGATTCTGCCTTCCATTTATTCTAGCTTGAAATTACTGTTTACTGAATAGCAAGTTAGGGAATCAACCTCATGGTTTACTAACCTATCATTTCCTTATTAGTTTGCCATTTGCTCTCATGTTTGCCATCCGGTATTTCATATATTTCTCTTCCTGTAGAGAGATTGGAGGTGGAATGTGGGATTCCTGGTTTATGCCCCTCCAGGAGCAGGTAGACCAGAGCACTATAGTTCGTATTTTATTCTCTTGAAAGCATAATCTTTTGAGAATCTGGTTGTAATTTGAAGTGTGGTTTTTTGTAGGCTCAAGTTCTTTGCGATAAGGTGGTGAACTGCCTTGGTATCTGTTGTTTTACTATATTGGTTTAGATGTTTTATTTGCCCACTGACAGGTTCATAATTAAACCTGCAGGTGAAGCAAATGAAAGAACTTAGAGAGGGTTACAACATAGTTGGTCTCTCCCAGGTGATTAATGAGTATCAGAAGTTCAGGTCGTTTTGGTTATATAGGAAAAATCACATCTTTCACCATGTAGACTTTGCAATTATGCTAAGGTGGGATGATCCTTATACATAACAGAGTAGCTGACAAACACATTTTTAATTTCTGATGCAGCTGTTATGTTATTAAATAAATTACTATGGTTTTACATTCATTATTCATTTTCTTGGTGCTTACTAAGTTACTAGTGAATTTTCTTCATTCATCTGAATTCTGATGCTTGTGTAACTGCATGTCATTAGCTCTAACATTCTAAAACTTCTCTTTGGTATACAGGGTAACTTAATTGGTCGAGCTGTTGTGGAGTTTTGTGATGACGGACCTCCTGTAAGAGCCACCTTTTTGCTAGTTTATTGGGGTCTTATTTGTCAATTGGCGTCCTACTAATTTCAATCAAATAACAATATAGTAGCTGTTATATGTTTTGCCAGTCATTAATTTACGATGAAAGCTGCTGTAAAGGCAAAGGATGAGTAGCTTCTGAATATTTTGTTGAAGTATCTTTTCTTTCAAAGTTCATTATTTCCCGGTTCAAAAAAAATGTTCACTATTTCTCTATTGCTGCCCTACACTTTTTTTAAGACTTTTTTTGAATTCATTTCTCCCCTGCAAGAAAGTAACATACTCTTATTTATATTTTGCTTCTTGAATATACAAGTCATATTGCTCCCATGAACATTTTCGCCTATAACCTCTTTATTGCTGGTGTAAATAGGGATAGGTTTATATTTGAATGTTGTGCTTTTGTTGCATTAGGTTCATTTGTTGTTCCACAGTTCGTAATCATCCTCATTTTAGTTCACTTGCATCATTTCCCACTGCCTTAAAGTGTTTGTGTATGTTGTGGTTTTATGCAATTGTGAATCTTTGATGATGAACCTATTTTTCCTTCTTATGACAGGTCAAAAACTTCATCTCATTAGGAGGACCTCATGCTGGTACCGCTTCGGTTCCATTGTGTGGAGTATGTATTTGTGACCTTTTACTTGTTATTACATCAACTGGTCAGACTTGTGTTACTACTAGAGGATATTCTTTCAATCTGTCAGACTAAGATGCAGAGAAATATGCTTTTGAAAGCTGGCAGTGATTGCATTTGAAGTGCAAAGAGTGATTGGATAATTATTTACAATATCATTTTGATTAAAAAATATTATCCGGGAAGCACATCTAATTCATCCGCTCCTTTTGTAGCCCATAGCCAGCTAAGAATGTACAAGAATCCTAATTTTTTTTGAGAGAGAAAAATCCAAAATTTATTTGCAGTTCTGCAAGCTTTAATAGGGAGACATATATCTAAAATAAAATAGATATTGCATCAGCCCTTGTTGACTGGGAAGTTTAACACCAATTTAAAACAACGTATCTTTTATTTTTCCTTCTAGATTTTCAATGGGATTTATTATGTTTGTATGCCTTGAAGAACGATAAATTGTGTTGTTATTGGACATTATACCAAGTCCGATGGCAGTTCAAGACTCAAAAGGATGAGGAGAGGCTGTCAAACATGGTCAGTCACCTGGAGCCCTGTCTCTAAGCCTGGGCTGTCATGGGATCTTATTTATGACTTTTCTGACACACATTTATTATTTACACTGTATTTGATATATTTTTGTATTTTGCAGAAGGGTATCTTTTGCATTATTGCTGACAACCTAATCAAGTCAGAGATCTACTCCGACTATGTCCAAGTATATATCAGTTTTTGAAATTTTTTTAGTTCAATACATTATACATGATTAGATATTTGTATCACTTTTAAATGAAGTTGAATTATTTCCTTCTCATAATGCTCATTCTAATATGTGCTGAAGGTGGATGGGACAAGGCATTGTTGAATTATATACTATAGTCGTTTGTAAGGTTTGACACATCAAGTTTTAATTGTGGATTGCAGGCTCACTTGGCTCCAAGTGGTTATCTAAAACTACCAAATGTGAGTAACAGGTTTTTTCATAGCTATGAGTGTTATAATCACAGGACCAAGTGATCAATAGCTTGCTTCCTCCCAACTGTTAAATATAATCTTTGCAAAATCATGTTGGCAGTTATGGGACCAAATTATGCATGAATACAAATTAGGTTTACGAATAATTTCTATATGTTGCATTTTATTTTTAGACATGTTTTTATCTATACATTAGTCTAGATGGTTGGAGGTTTAAACACAGGATTAACTTCTCTTTTTCCAGAATTTACCTGCCTATTTAGAGAAGTGTAGGTTTCTCCCGAAACTTAACAATGAAATCCCTGCTGAGAGAAACTCAACTTACAAGGAACGGTTCAGTAGCTTAGAGAATTTAGTCCTTATCATGGTAAGTTGGGACTTTCTTCTATTTGTCTGCCTGTTCAACTTCCTTTTCAAAATTATTTCTATTTTCAAAAATTTTGCAACTTTTGTAGATTAGGTTATTGAGTGCTTTATATCCATTATCCATATTGTGTTTGTATACAGTTTGAACATGACACTGTATTGATACCAAAGGAAACCGCCTGGTTTGGATATTATCCAGATGGGGAATTCAATCCTGTTATGCCTCCACAACAGGTATTACATATACTTTGACAAATAAAAACCATTACCTATATGCTGATGCTTTGGTTGGTAGTTCATTTTTTCACTTCAACTAGTTCAATTTCCAAATCTAGCAAATATTGCTTTTCTTTCACAGGCCCAAGAATCTTAGCGTCAAAGGAAAATAAAAAACACCAACCCAAACAAAAACCAAAGAAAAGAAAGTAGGATGTAGAAATTTAGACAAAAAGAGCAATTAAAAATGAAATGAAGAAGCCTTCTGGCTGCTTCATCTATCCGTCTCCTGCCCACTTGAAGCTTCTGATACATGTCATTCAATTAACCCTTTTATTTATATGCTTAATATTATGTAATATTAACTGGTTGTATAGTGGTTAACATATATAACAATGATCTACTATAAAGTTATGCATAGTTTTCTTTTTTGACCAGTAACAACATTGTACCTAGGATGATACAATATTCAACTACTAATCTAATCTAAGCATGAATAACAGACTAATAAATTACTAACCTAGTAATTAGACGAACATTATTAAAGGATTAAGCAAACAAATAAGTAAATAATCTATATGAATTGAAAACTCGAAGAAAAATTAATACATGTGTGCAAATTGAATCATGAGTTATGAACTGTTACAGGCAACAAGGTTTACATCATGGTAGTGATGCTGGTGTAATACATTAGGGCCAGGATCAGGGGCTCAGCAAAATGTCTATGACATTACTTCCGGCTGTATTCCATATCCAAATCTTGGTAAAGGGTATGAACCCAGATTCTCACATGACCGGTAGGACCAATTCAAGGAATGTCTTGCAACTTAGTAGCACCACCCAACTGTCAATTTTTTTTTAGCCTCAGGACTTTATACCCATCTTCAGTAAACAATTTATGCCAGTGTCCTTAAAACCTATTTGTGAGGAAAAGGTTCTTTTTCCTATCCGTTCCACTTCTCAATGAGTGCTCCTCACCAATTCTGGTCGGATTCCATAAATTTAATGACACTACACATATTCAAGCTAAACTCAGTTAGAAGCAAACATATAGACTGAACCAATTCACGATTCTAGACATTTAAGGAAATTCCAGGTTTAAGTGGCAGTCAATCCCGGATGCTTCTTCCAGGCACTTACATGTCAGATAAAGCAATTTTTTTTTTTTATAACAAGATAAAGCAATTAATTGCCACACCTGGACATAAGAAAAAAGATACTGGATTTTATCATTCTGTTGTATATTGTATACTGTATGGTTTTTCTTTGTGGGAGTTGTCGCACAAATAGGTAGGGGGCTGTTAGTCGAATGAGCCCGAGTCGAGCTTGAAAAATTTGTTTCTTAATCGAGCTTAAAAAATTGTTCAAGTTCAATTCGTTTAAAAAATAAATCGAGCCTGAATGAGCCAAAAACAATTTGAGTCTGAGCCGAGCTCGAGTATTTGCACATAAATGAGTCGAGTTTGTCGAGTTTGAACTGAGCTTTATAAGGTTTGTTTTTTAAACGAGCCTAAAAAGTTGTTTAAGTTTGGGCTCATTTAAAAAATAAACCGAGCCTGAACGAATCAAACTCAAGCCAAGCTCGAGTATTAACAGCCCTACAAATAGGATAAAAATTGAAGCCAATTTTTACTTATTCTAGCATGTGTTTTTTCATTTGGGCAGACACAGCTTTACACTGAGGATTGGATTGGTTTGAAAACCTTGGATGATGCCGGGAAGGTCAAGTTCATCAATGTGACAGGAAACCATCTTGGAATTACCAGAGCCGACATGAGAAAATATGTTGTTCCTTACTTGAAGGATGAAGAATCAACAGAGAGTGGCACTACAGAGGTTGTCCATCCTAGTAGCTCAGAGAGCCATCAGAACATGCAGGTTTTCCGGCAGGGGCTGGACACAGCATCAACTGAAGTGATGATTGAAGGATCACCATCTTATAGCTGGCCATCGTCAATTAAGAGCGTCTTTGGAGAATTACTCGGATTTGCAGGCAATGAATAATCACCAGATACTTAATATCTCATTCAAATGCATTAAATCGACGGTACACATGAACTGAATTAATTAACCACTCCTTTAGAGGGACTATGCACTTGTACTGCAATTGCATGCACATTGTAATATGCAAATTGATTGTACTGTAGGAGGTAGGCATCTGTGATTAGAGAAAAATGCTTGGATTTTGGTAGTTGGTAGAGATGGCAGCGGACCGGTGGGGCTCTTTTTTTTTTTTTTTTTGGGGGGGGGGGGGGGGGGGGGGTTCGCGTCAACAAATAGCTAGTGTCCTTTACTTTCTATTGTACACACTTGCATTTGTTAGCACACACACGCACTATGTGGTTGTTTATTTGATTGTACGGATATCTTTCAACCATAGGTGTGCAATTGAGTTTATAGGTTTGTTGGGATCGCCGTGCGACTGAGCTAGGTGAATTAATTGCATATTAATTAAAATCAATCATCATGGAAAGGGTTTGTGGTGGTTCTCAAATTCATTGCTTCATATTATTGAGAAGAGATAATTTGGTAGACTTAGGTTTTAATTCGTAATCAATTTGAACTTAAATCGAAAAACATATTCACCCCCTCTAGGTAATTGTCGGGAAGTCTATCATTACTACTAGTTAGTTTGAATGGGTTCTCAAAAGGAAAGTGGTTCAATTGGACGACCACCTCTCTTGAATGGATCGAACTTTGCAAAATGGAAAGCTAGTAGGAGAGCATTTTCTTAAATCCATTGATGAGAGAGTGTGGTTGACTCTCCAAGAGGGTTGGAGGCCTCCCACCACCACCACACAAGTTGAAAGTGGTGAAGTGGTGGTTGAAGTAAATCGTTGAAGGTATAGATTAAAAATGAGAATGAGTCCATGGGGTGAAACTCAAAAGGCTAGAATTCAATATTCAATGTTGCGACACCAAATGAGTTCTGAAGGATCAGTAATTACAAAACTTCAAAGGAAGAGTGAGACATCTTGATTGTTTCCCATGGAGGTAACACCTTGGTGGAGATGTCTCAACTCCATATGAAGACCTCTCAGTTCGAGAGTTTGAGGATACAAGATGATGAAACAATTAGTGAATTTCCTGCTAAATGGCTTGATACTGTAAATTAATAATTTGCATTAGGTATCAAGGTTGACGATGTAGCCATCAAGTGGAAAATCTTGAGATCTCTAACCGAGAGATTTCGTGTAAAGGTCTCAACCTTCGAGACAAGTGTTAACATGGAATTAGTGTCAGTGGATGATCTAGTGGGGTCTATCTTGACCTTTGAGATGACCCCTCCATCCTTAAACTAAAGCTAAGTGCATGGCCTTGGGCTCAAATAATCAACGAGGAGGTAAATTCAGGTCACCCCAATTTTGAGAGGACCTAGCCTTGATTGTCAGGATGTAGAAAAATATTTTGAGACAAGTATTGTTTAGTCCTCAAGACCAAAAGGATAGCCTAGTAGGCGTAGCACTCCTACAGAAGGAAGATAAATAAGGGGAAGGGACNAATATAATCCTCGGCCCAGTATGCGGGTAAATTTGGATCCTCATCTTTGTCCCCATTCATAACAATTAATTTATATATTTTAATTTTAAAAAAAAAAACCATAAAACATCCAATGGATTTCCAACAATGATGAAAATTCATTATATGTACCAAATATATCAAAACATAAAAAACTTACAAAAATAATATGAATAATAAATATGTATTTCACTTAATTATTTGATTTGTTATATATATTACTGGTTTAAGGGGATAGATACATATGAGTTTCAGTTCATTTATGCCTCTATTCTTGGGTCTTGTTGGCCCATAGGTCTTGTTACCTGACCTAAGAAAATAAGTCTGATAAGCCCAATAGTTTACCTGTCCAAGCCTAATTTCACCCATCCAGTAAATGATGGGTTAGACTGGATAGCCTATCAAAGCTCAGCCTAGTTGGGCTTAGCCGGTCCGATAAGAGCTTGAATCTATCCTACTCAATCCAAAAAAATTTGTGGGCCTAACCTGACTCAACCCATGAACACCCCTGAATGTTTTCTAGCTAATGCACCGGGATGAATAAATACTTTGCTAGCAGTTGTGTATATAAGAAAATTTGGACGATTTCAAACTGCTTTAGTACAAAGATTACTGCAATTATATATACAAGAACGTAAAAATAAAGACAGTAAGAATAAGATCCCCTGCAAGTAATACGAGATTATTGCAGTTATATATACAAGAAAGTAAAATAAAAGCAGTTATATACAAGAGAGTAAAATAAAAGCAGGGCTCATCAAACACCGTAAATATTTCTCAGTAAACATGGATATCCAGGCTAAGACCTCCCAGTTGATCAGCCATGATGGAGCAGTTGTTCTCGTTGGACTGCTTCTCACTTGAAATCTCCCGGTGAGTATGACAACGAAGCCAGAAGCAAGAAAGCCTAGCCAAAGTTGCCTGGCCCGCAACGCGAACCTTGCAGACTAAGCTCAAATTCGCCCACATCCCACTTCTCGGCGCACTCAACTCATGACTTGGTTTGTATCCATCAAGATCTGCTTCTGTTACCACAACTACAGAGCCATCATCAAATGCCAAGAGACTTGCAGTAGCTAAATACCTTGGCGTTTTCAATATTAGACTGGTCAGGTGACCCAAGCCATACATCTTCACCTGGACATGGTAATACTCCTGAACAGCCTGCAAACAATTACCAACAGTGTAGCTCCCATGAAAGAATAAAGCATAATTTTGGGAAAATTTCAGTAGTCAAACGCACAAAAATACTCCATCAAAAAAATTTGAAAGCCACTCTGTCACTAACATTTACATATACCCACAAGCAACAACCATTCACATTTGTTTCCATTCCGTATAGGCACTACCACTAAAAAGAAAAGCCCAGTATTACGGCAAAATAAAATGCAAGCCATGACCAGCCATGTATATAGGTTGATAGTATTTTTTTTTTCAGTAAGAAACATCAATTTTGTTAGTAAAATGTAAAAAATAAAATAAAATCAAAGGTAGGCAAGTCATCCAGCCCAATGATAGGTCAAAACAAAACACTTTATACAGCTGTTGACTGAGGACCATAATACAAACCACAGGGTGCTTTCCACCTTGCAATTATGCAAAAAAAAAAAAGGAAGACTCTTGAATTCCTATGAAAATAGATATTTATCATATTTTATTGCCTTCCCAAATGTATTTGATCCACAATATCATGCATTGGCACTTTATTATGAGAAACCATGCAAAGAATTTGCTTTTACTCTGTGAAAAACGGCTGTTAGAATGAGCCACAATAATGAAATCAAAACTCTTTTTTAGTTTATTGATAAGTGAAAAGAAAGTTTTCCTCTTCTTGCACTTTGATTGTATAGAATTGAGTATGAGCCCCTATGGAACCTGAAGGGCCTGAACTTGCAAGGTTAAGCCCCACATACCTGCCATTGGGAAGAGGCTAATAAAACCCTTGGCCGTATTGACTTCACATAATCATACGCAACTTCAGGCATCATCTGCTTGTGTTGCACCTGTAATATAGATCATAGATTATTAATGCTTGGAAAAGGAGGAACAAACTTCAATTAATATAATTAACCCTTTATTGGAATTGGCACCCACCAAATAACATATAACAATTGTTGTGCTGCGTCCTCTGCCAGCTTTACAGTGAACATATGTAGTTCGCCCACGTGATGCATTGCCTTCAAAAGGAAACAAAAGAAAAAATGATTCAGGAATACAACAGAAATCTGACAATTTTCTCAGTGCTGGAGAATAATGTACCAGTAGTGCATAGAGCAACTTACCATGAATGAAGTCTACAGCTTGGCAAATATCATTCAATGATGGCGCAAAGAGGTAGTCTCTTGTAGGGAGCACCAAATGGTCAATACCATAAGCCTACAAAAATATTCATAAAAAAATAATGAAGTCTCGGTCAAAAAGATTTTCCAATTAAAGAACTAGGCCGAAAGATCTAGATATGCATCAGTGCTGAAAGCCTGCAACAAAATGTATAAAAAAGAAACCTCATTTTTGGCGAAGTGCATTAACCTTGAATCATTTATCTGCCAATTTTAAGCCCCCACTCTAATCCTCTGACCCTTTCTTTAAAGAGTTTAAAACAAAGAGTAGCAACAAGATCCAACTATTCGTATTAGCAGAAGTATATGACTGAACTGACTCTAACAAATCCTTGATGGAGCCAAATGGCCAAAAAATACCAGGCAATCAAGCATGTAATTCATATCTTCAAATCAAGTTTTTCTTAATGAGCTTTACATTAAAAAAAAACTGCCCACGAAAAGAATACAAAAGGAAAGCTGTCATCAAAATATGAGCAAAACAGTGATGGCATTGGACATGTTCAGAATATTTTAAAAAGGATCCAAGGAATTCAATTTCAAGACATGGATGACACTCCCCCCCCCCCCCCCCTTTTTCCTCTCCCAAACTCCCAAAACATACAACCCAGAAAAAGAGAAGAGGAACAGTCCTCTGAAAAGGAAAACAAAAAACCAATACATCAAACAAGCAAACAAGACCCCAAATTCCTACTTCAGGAATCCTAATAAACTGAAGTACACACCGACAGTAATAGACTATCCATACCTAAAAGCTAAAATAAGTCCCTATACCGGAAATAATTGACCATCTATACCTAAAGGCTAAAATAAGTCCATCTGAAAGGTATATATTAAAAAAGAGAGGCCAACTAAGAGTCAAAATATATGCTATAAAAAACTACAATAAACCTGTATATTCAGCAATCCTTGTTAAAAAATAATCTCAAAAAATATAAACATTTATCTATACATCCATCCATGGGGTTGTTCAGCAACTACTCCTTCAATACGAAAATAATTATGCATCATTCGCTTTGCATACCAGTGGCCCAGCTTCGAATCAGTCGTATATTAATTTCTCTTTATCGAAAAACATAGATAATGACAAAAGAAAAACATACTCTTTCATATCTAGTGGTACAACCATTTTATGGGCAATCCACCCACTACCAAATATCATGTAGTGTCAGAGTATTATCAAAACCTATCCTTTACTGGATCTCATTCATTTGCAACCAAACCATTAATTGAAAAGGAGCTTATATTTACGTGTACTGTTGTTCTTTTACAATCAATTCTATGAAATCATAATAATTTCTTTTTCAATAAAAGGAGGACAGTGTTAATACAAAAACATGAAAAAAGAACTACAATCTGGAGGACAAGCTATCCTCAAACCTAAGTAAAATACAAAAAACAAAAAAACAAAAAAAGGGAAAAGGAAAAGGAAAAAAAAACTGTCTTCCCATCCCATTGGAAACCCAACAAAGCACACCTTTGAGATTCCCAGTGAATATGATTCATAAAGAAGCCAGTGACACTTCTATCCCAGACTAAGCATAATGGAAACGAATTATAATGGAAAATTCTTGTATTCCTCTTATGGTTCATATTCCCACGAACCTTAGCTTCTTTACTCTTTTAGAAACCCCAGAACTCAATCTGCAACTACTCCACCACAGAAGACCAAACCCAAGCTTCTCCAATCACATTAGATTTCTCATACTAGGCAAACAAATATCAGGTTTTAAAACCTTGTAAGGCTTCTCACCTGCAACCAAATGGTACTGCAAAACTATAGAGTAAGTTTTCATTTAGTTTATGTCCCATTTTATGTCAAAGTACTGTAGGTTCTCAAACATTTGATACCCACTCCTCCAAGATGCCATTACATGCAGCAAGTTGAATATTTTTACCATTACTGAGTATAAAATTGACAATTGCTCCAAGCACAGAAATTGCAATGAATAATAGAAGCTTTAGAAGAATATTTTGAAACAAAAAAGCTCTAGAAGAATGTAGAGCATGCCAAGAAATAATCAAAATAAAATACAAAGAGTATTGAGAAGCTCACATGATATAGAGATGTAGGAACTAAAGTTTCATATGGCTCATTCAGGGTGATCACTCCACAAACACCAAGCTCCTTCAGTGGTTTAACATCAGAGGGGAATGGAACAGCACCGAGCAATACAAACTGAAAATGACCATATTATTAGTAGAAAGAAGTTTGGTTCACAAGAGAGTATTTCTTACAACTAACACCGAACACTTGAAACAAATCATGTGCTTTAACTCGATGAATTCAGCACAATTGGCACAGAATTCTAACTTTCTTAACCACAAAATTATAAAGACACTGTCAAATAGAACATGTTTGTAACCAACAACAAACCATAAGCTGTGCAAAACCAAAGAAGATCAGAAACAATCACAAATCCATATACAAAGAATCACACCCACTTTAGTTCCCATTAACTTACATTAATACCACACAAAAGTCACAGATTGGGGACCAACCGAGGAAGCTACAATAATAACTAGGTTTGCAAATAAAAAACAATGCACAGCAAAGGCACAATGCAATATGCAATTAATTGATGAAACACTGATGAGTAAACTTCATAAACCTTAATGCTTAGCACGATTTCCAAAAGCCCCTTGCACATGTTTTGGACAATCAGATGTAAAATAAAAAATAAACAACTAACAAATAAACATTTCATCCGGTGAGCAAAATATTAAAGAATAAGGGGACTGGGATAAGCCTTGCACTATCCGGAATTCTGGATAAGCCATACATTATCATTCTGGAACCATACATGACTCAACACTCATAACTCCCCAAAGCATTCAAGTCTGCATTGTGTATTTGCTTCCTGTTTGCCCATTCAATTATCTTTCACAATACTCCTTCCTTGTGCCAAATGCCTCTATTATGTCGGGCCATATCTACTCCAATAGCAAACCCAGTTGTGACCATAGTTGTTAGTGTCGTACGATACGCGATACGTATCGTACGATACGTTACGATACAGCCCTAAAACGATACGGATCGTAGTTATGCATCGTTTTTGCATTATATCGTCCGATACACGATACGTTTTTACGATACGATACGTATCGGTACGAAACGCACGATACGTGCAATTTTTTTTTATTTTTTATTTTTATAAACGACGTCGTTTTGTGCTCTGATTTTTTTTTTTTAATCCCTATAACCACTGAAACGACGTCGTTTCAGTGGTTAGGGTTACAAAAAAAAAATCCCTCATTTCTCACATATTTGCCCTTCGCTAGTCAGACTGTCTCTGGTTTCTCTTCAGCCATCGACGACGAGTGGCAATCGCTATAGGTGGTGATCGCTATGGGTGGTGATCGATTGTGGGTAGTGATCGATTGTGGGTGGTGATCGACTGTGGGTGGCGATCGCTATTGGTGGTGATCGCTGTGGGTAGTGATCGACTGTGGGTGATGATCGACTGTGGGTGGTGAACGTTGTAGGTGGTGATCGCTGTGGGTGGTCTTCGACTCTGGGTGGTGATCGATTGTGGGTGGTCTCCAACTGTGGGTGATTGCTGGTCTTCGTCTGTGGGTGATTGCTTGTCTCCGACTGTGGGTGTTGATCGCTGCCTTTTTCCTTCTCCAGGTACTCCTTCTTTTTCTTCTTCTTCTTCTTCTTCCCAGTCTCCATTGATCGTTGGTCCTGTGCAGTATGTAATGATATTAATTTATTTACAAAGCCAAATGTATATAAATTTTTTTGTATAAAAATTTCTGAATCTTGATTA